CGGTGCCTCCGCAGGAGCGGAGCCATGGCTGCGGACTCGGAGGTGCTGCACTTCCAGTTCGAGCAGCAGGGCAACGCCGTGCTGCAGAAGATGAACCTCCTGCGGCAGCAGAACCTCTTCTGCGACGTTTCCATTTACATCAACGACACCGAGTTCCAGGGGCACAAGGTGATCTTCGCCGCCTGCTCCACCTTCATGAGGGATCAGTTTCTGCTCAGCCAGTCCAGGCAGGTGCGGATCACCGTCCTGCAGAGCGCCGAGGTGGGCAGGAAGCTGCTGCTGTCTTGTTACACGGGGGCTCTGGAAGTCAAGAAGAAGGAGCTGCTGAAATACCTCACCGCCGCCAGTTATCTCCAGATGGTTCACATCGTGGAGAAGTGCACCGAGGCTTTGTCGAAATACTTGGAAATTGATGCTTCCATGGAGAACGGTAACCAGGCTGTAGAGGGATGTCATTCCTCAGATGCTGAGCTGAGAAACGGGGATGATGTTTTAGATAAAGATTGTGAAATAATCGAGATCTCTGAAGACAGCCCAGTGAACGTGGAATACCCTGTGAAACAGGAGAAGGGGGACATCTCGCAGCCTGCTGTGCCGAGTTTGATCTTGGAAAGAAGGGACACAAAAACCCCAGAAATATCAACAGTTGAAATTGGATACAAGGATGATGAAATCTGCATCTTCAGAATGGATTCTGTGAGTGTAGCGAACGTAGAAAATGATCATTTTCCTCAGCCTTGCACGTCCTCTAAAACAAATTTATATTTTCCGGAAACGCAACACTCCTTGATAAATTCTACGGTTGAAAGCAGAAACGCAGAAATGTCAGGAAATCACTTTCAGGCTTTTGTCAGTGACAATCCTGAAGGAACTTCTAGTCTGATGAATGGGTTACAGAGCCTGGACAATTCTGGCAGTTCATGGCGACACCAGTGTCCGAAGTGTCCGAGGGGATTTCTGCATCTTGAGAACTATCTCAGACATCTAAAAATGCACAAACTCTTTTTGTGTTTGCAGTGTGGCAAAACATTTACACAAAAAAAGAATCTCAACAGACACATCCGGGGGCACATGGGCATCCGGCCCTTCCAGTGCATGGTGTGTTTGAAGACCTTCACTGCCAAAAGCACGCTTCAGGATCACCTGAATATACACAGCGGTGACAGGCCCTACAAGTGTCATTGTTGCGACATGGACTTCAAACACAAGTCTGCTCTTAAAAAGCATTTAACTTCTGTCCACGGAAGGAGTACCAGCGAAAAACCAAACCTGAACGATATTACGAAAGTTGAAATAGACTATGATTAACAGATGGGTGGTTGTGGAGCCAGGCTCCACGAAAAGCTAGTGAAATTCTAGGTGAAATTCTGGGTACAGATCCCCACGTAATGGAGAGAAGCACAAATACGTGACTGGTGGTCAAAGACAGGCCTTGTGAGCAGCAAACTTGCCTGCTGCATTAAGGGTGCTATTGCTGTAAGTGTGAAAAAGGTGTTTACCAGTTGAAAGTCAATTGCAAAGTACGGGAAATGATTTCACGCTTCTCTTCCATTATCCTGGACACATTCTGATCCTCCCTTTCCCCCCGGTTATGTTTTGCACTCCCCTGTTTTAAGGACAGGCACTGCCAATGCTCAAACTATTACTGATACTGCAATAAGCTGGAGTCTGAGCCGTGTTGTTCCTGATCTGTAACAGCTAAGGAAAGGGGATGTTTCTGTTTATTGAGCAAATCGGTCATTCCCACCCAATTCACGTATCATTTATGGTAAAATCATCTCCTTACTCGCCCAAACTTTGCTAGCTCTTTCAAGAGCAAGAAGGCATATTTTCATACTCAAGCCTGTGATATTTAAGAAAAAACACACAACAAATGAAAAATAATCCAGGAAGCTTTCAAATCACCTCTTGCAAATAGAAACTTGGTAAAAGAGAAAGAAACAAGCAATATTGCCTTGCAGTTCATTTTTAACTGGATAGTCTGGTTTGAAGTACTTGCTTTATGTTTTATAAACGAGTTCTGCATTTTTCTACCTTCTAATAATCTTTTTTTTTCTGTCATACCAGTGTTATGCACTCGAATTTGACTAATTCCGATTAAGTTAGTCCTGGTTGCTGAGTTGTAACATTTGCCTTCGTTTTTTAGAAATCTTAGACACGTACACTAACGTGAAAAATTAAGCAGTGTGCGGGTACCTAATAGCAGTTTCTGCGTTCGTTTGGAAAAACAATCCTTTATAGCTTATTAGGAACGGCTTAGAATAGGGGTCTTCTCATGCTCTAATTCTGTGGTACAGTAAAACAGTAAATATGTGTGTTTGGATATGTGTGTTTGTACTTTGTCAAAGGTCATTTTGGTTTCATCACAGGCATCGAAAGCCCTGTTACACAGGATCTTTATCCTGTACCTGTCTTTGACTGGCGTGTTTCTTCCACTTAATGTGATATGAATAAAGAGTCTGTTCAGTTGTTAATAGGAGATAACGGTACTTACAGTAGATTCTCTCCAGTTAGCAAAAAGCAGTAGTTCTTGATCTCGTCTGTGTCACGAAGGTACCCTTTCCTTCAAGTTTCAGAAGTCTATGAAGTTCTTGCTCTGAGTCTGCAAGTCTGGCCCGTGTTCTCCATAATCTGGCTGTTCATAAAATACAAGACAGTAGTTTTTAAAGGCAGTTAGCAGGTTTCACTTACTTTCCCCCCCTGCATCTGTGAGTGCACCAGCCATTTCTTGAAGGTGTATTTATCAGCTATATGAGGGGTGAGGTGTGTAGAATGTTTACTGTGCAGTTTCTTATTATCTGTAATAGGCATGGTCGGTTGTGACATTTCAGTTGAAAAGGTTTCAAAAACGTGTTCCACGAGGGTTTTTGTAAGCTCTTCATCTGATATTATTAACACAAAGTACCTATTAGTAGGATTGCAGCAATATTTGCAGGTCCCAGTTCACACTAGGCCTTACTGCAATAGGCAGCATTTTATCTTCCTTAGCAACCCTGTAGCCTAAATAGGCAAGTAGTGCATTCAGAAGCCGAGTGCGCTGCTAGTGCTGTAGTCCTCCAAAAATTCACAACACTCTGACTTTACATAGACAGTTGAGTGGTGAAGGACTCCATTGTATTGGATCACTGGAAAGGAACATCCCAGGGTGTCCCTGTGAATAATGACAGAAGTGGCACCCCCAGAGTAAGTAGCTAGTGTAACTGTGAATTAAAATGATCTGGTTTATCTGGTACTTTAAGCCTAAGGCCCAACCTTTCACAATCTCTGCTATTATTTCATATTAAAAGTTGATCATTTGCTTTATTTTGGTGATTTTTAACTATAGTAATTGTCATAATTACTGTAGTTAAAAGGTTTGAGAATCATCTGTGGTGCAACTGCCTGACATTTTGGAAAAAAAATTGCACTGTTTTCTGTTTGCATTCATTATTCTGTCACTATTTACAGTCTTTTTGGCCTTGGTTAGTATTGTTAGCTTGGTTTTCACAGATGATCATTAATTTTTGGTTCCTAATTGCATAAAAATTAAGAATCTGATTTTCAAAAGCATGCCAATACCTGTACTTGGCCTTTTCCATATTTACAGATGTTAACTTGGGTATACATATAGTTTGTATGTAGCTTTTCATTTGTGTCTAGAGACTTAGTTACTTTAAATAAACTCCTTTGTCCTTGGAAGAGGTCATAAAGCAAGGAAAAAGTTTACTTCCCTCCCCCATCCTTTTTACGTTGGGCTGCAGTTACCGTAGTTTGGTCAATAAATGTATTGTGCATTTATGGGACAAATTTGGTTCAACCGTGCTTAAATTTTTTCAGCTAACAGGCATTTTTGGCAGGTATATGATTATCATTCATAACACTTCAAAAGATCATTCCTTGGGTTTTGTTCAACTGGTTTTTACAGGTGTATGCATCGGTATTTCCCTCTGTGAGAGGCGGAACAGACTGATCTTTTAAATTGCATCTTCTGTGGGACCAGGATTGCGAGTTATTTTTGGTTTGCTGTTGTATTGCATGTAAACATGACAGGGAGTTGTGTTGTGGGACGGGCCAACAGCATGTTCTGTTCAGTGGCTAGAGTGTCTCAGTAAGCTTTGTGAACAAAAACAGATTTTGTGCTCATGTTCACATTAAAGATGTTTCCTCTCCCATGTCCATACATGTAACCACTTGTCCTGTCAAAACACAATAAAGGAAGTCCAAACAAGACATTGTTTCAGAAATACATATGCTTTCTTCTAATCACAGTTAAATAATTCTATGCATACCTTAGTATTTACTATTTTAGCTTGCTGTGGTGAATAAACAAGATGTTGTAAATGTAATAGAGTTTTCAAGTGGCAGCCTTTTAATAATGCATCTTTTTCTGTTCTTCAGAAGGGTTTTTCAGCAGCACCTACATGTCAGAGGAATGTTTTCTCCTCAGAAATCACAACTCTATGCCGCCTTGGCCTTGATTAAAACTGTTTTGATCTTTGTGAGCAACCAGAGAAGAGAGGTGCAGCCCTCGGGTTCTTATCCAGGGGGTAAAGCAGTAAGCCAGGTCCCGACACCGCGGCCTCGACGGGCCCGAGGCGTCTGTGTGGTGGCTTCCCCTCTCACCTCCTCGGGAGGCCGTGGCGGGTGGCACCGGGATAAGCGACGTGCGCCAGAGACGGTCTCTAATCCCCTAAGCCTTCTGAGCGCTAGTAATAATAAAGCTGTTAATTAAAATTGATAAAGGAAAACAAATCCCCGACACTAGCAGTGAAGATGGGGCGGTGCGTGTAGAGGAGCAGCTGAGGCGTCGGCCAGGC